TGAAGTGCTTGGCGGGGGAGAAGAAAGCCTGAAGCTCTTCCATACTGCTGTAGATCTGCTGGGCCTTGTTCTGGAGAGAACTTGGGAGCCCCTTGATGCTGCCCAGGAGCATGGAGCAGTTTGATTTCAGTTGCTGTAGAAGATGGTCAGACATGGCAAGTGCCTGAACTTCAATCTGCAAGGAAGAAACAAAAAACACACTCAAGTATATGGAAGCATCCCCTTTCAGAGACGCACACAGACACACAGACACACAACCTCTGCCGAGTCAGTGTCCTCTTGCCCTTTAGACTGCTCCTTGGTACATGCCAGCCACATCTGGTACAGCTTATCCTGGCCATCTTGAAGCTTCTCATCTACAATCTGCTTGGCATAGTTGATCTGAGGAGAAGAGAGGATGTGCATGAATAGCAAGCATGATGCTCATGCTTAAAGAGGAGTTTCCCAACCTCCTTTCTGGAAGAGGTTCATAGGCAGAGGAAACAGTATATTAAACACTGCTAGGCTTAAGTGCAGGGGGCTACTTTTTCTTTGAGAAAAGAAATACTGCTATCAGAAAAATAACCTAGCACACATTCAGGGAGAAAGGAAGATATATTCCTACCAGGTCCACAGCTTGCTGAAGCTGGGCCAGGGCCTCCAGGGTGCTCTGCCTGGCATGCCTCATCTTGCCCAGGGAGTGCTGGTAGGCTCGCTGCTGCAGGCTGGTTGAAAGGGAGCCCAGGCGCACATAGTAGCTCTGTCGCTGCTTCTCCACTGGAGCCACCTCTGCCCCCTCCACAGGGGTGGCAAGTGCAGCTGTTGAGAGAGAATAGAGGTTACTCTGGCCCCCCTGATGACTAGGAGACTGGCAATTTCAGGCATCCCATAGGGATGTGGAATGCTCTTCCCTTATAGGATGTTTGGAGACACTGGCCAATACCTACAGCAGGCAAGAGGGCAGCTAAAAGGAATGCAGCTACCAGAATGAAGGGCAGCTTCTCTCCCCTGAAAGCATTAGCTGAGGATGACAGGTGGAGAGGACTTGTATGAAGGAGGAAGGGGACAAGAGTGGCATGGAGCTAAGCTACAATGCAGATGCAGAGTCAAGGACACAAGTACATCTTAGTTTGTAGCTTGTGCATTAAAGTGCCAGATTGGGGGGGGGGGGGGAGAAAGATGGGAAAGAGGAGCTTATTACCCAGTTCCTCATCAGTCATGGGGAGGTAGTGGTCCACCCACTGTTCCGATTTCTCTAGCACCACATCCAGGCCACTCACAACCTTCTGGCCCAGAGATGAGCCCATCACAGTGTCCATGCTGCTGGTCACTGCCGATCTGGTCTTCTCCACACCCTCCTGGACAGCCCCTTTGGCCACATCTACTACACTGGACACAGCAGCTTTGGCTCCAGCAACTGTGCTACAGACTGCATCCTTGGCCCCTACCACAGTTGCCACCACAAGGTCTTTGGCCTCCACAGGCACCTAAGACAGAAAGCGTATTTAGAGGAAAGAAGAGCCCCTAGATCAATTCTTATCTACTCCATCTTGCTCAGTTATCTTTTCCAGGTTGGCAAGTAATCATTTAGCCCACTGCTGCCTCCTTAGATAAAGTGGTTTTTGAAGTTTAGGGGAACCTAGAAGGCCCTTTGCATTATAAGTCTTACAGTTTCTAGTGAAAAGTGATAACCAACTGCATCCCCATAGCTTGTGGTCCAGGACACTACACTGCTCTCCTTTTACAAAGGAATCTGGAGAACTTGGGGCCTTCTCCTCCAGCTTTGAGAGTGGCTAGTCACTGATACAAGTCAATTGTTTGACTCCCCCTCTCCCCCCCCCCCCCCCCCCCCTTGCAGTTTGAGAGGAGTTAAATTTACCTATTAAGTCTCCCCAGTCTTTCTAGTGGGTTTTGCACTGTAGCAGACTATTCTCAAAGGAGGACCATGCCACATCTTTCAGGAATGACTCAAGTAGCCTGCTTGCTCTTTCAGTTCTCACCCCACCTCCTTAAGGAAGCCCAGTTCCAAACCACTAGCTCTTACTCAAGCCAGATTTCTGTAGCTTGTGTTGCCCTCATTCCTCACTTGCATTATATCATGGATTGCCATCTACCCAGCTGAGCAAGCTGAGCCAGACCGAGCTAGAGGCTTGAACAGACTCCAGCCAGCCCCTAACCTTCCTTCAGGTCTTACTTCTACTACAGACAAAGCCAGAAGGGACCATTACAGCCTCCTCTGCATCATATGGGCCAGAGAATTGGACTGCATGGTTGCAGCTTTAGGTTCAGAAGTTTGAGTCAAGGCTCATATAGGAACCCATTTAGTTAAACTTGGATTCTCCATTGCCAGAAACATTATCCCATGTTCACCCTGGGAACAACCTGGTCTGGTTGCTAGCATCTACAGCTGACTATTTACAGGCCCTAACTAGGCAGAGGACAGGCTTCATAGTCTCTTCCTCATACAAACTCCTCCATCTGTAAAAAGTTTGCCTTCATTCCCACCTCAAGGTCAGGCACACAGCTGATGGGTAGCCCATCAGCAAGAGAATGAGGCTCTGGAGAGGAGTTTCATTTCTGACCTTCCCCCACCAGGGTGTTAAGTGTCCAAAGCAGGGTGCTGTTAGGCACCCAGGTGGTTCCCATCCCCAATCTTCAAAAGGTCCTGTAGCAGGGCATCAAAGAAGTGGTAACTCAAGGCATTCAACAAGGTCAGCAACAGCAATCTTGGAGTTTAGATCAGGAGCCACCAAGATGACTTCCTGGCACCTCTGGGCAAAACCTAGTTCTCAGAGTTCCCAACTTAGCAGTTAGTGAAGCAATGGCTGATACTGGAGTTTGGCCATCCCCTTCCTTGGCAATAGGCACATGCAAGCTAGAGCCATGATCCCACCTGCCAAACAGCTGGTTTCCCACAATGGGCTCACCTGCAGCTCTTGTTCCTGGGCTGCAGGGCTGCTAGCCTGTGGTTCATCTCCACTGGCAGACATGGTGAAGCAAGAGGTCACTGCAAAACTACAGGGGAATAGAGCAAGTAAAGCAGCTGTTGTGTACCTTTACTGCAAGATTGCAACATCATGCACAAGGGGCCAACCAGTTTTTTGGTCCTTCAGCTCCCACCACAGAGTCACCCATTTTACATGGCTTGGGAGCAGTGCTGTGCAGCAAGGTTAGACTTTCTAGAGGACTTGAAACATGCAGGCTGTAACCATTAGTATTTCTTAGCAGGAGGTTGCATCTTAAGGCCCTGCCCCTCATCATCAACACAAACCCAAGGCCAGCCATGACAGAATGGCTCCTTAAAAGGTGACATCCTCTGTCAAAGATTAGAACAAGACCATACATCTTGAAAGCAACCATACAGGCAGCCCAAGGCACTAGGGGAGGGTCATTAGCAGTCAGGACAGAGACTGCCTCCACACTGTTAGTGGACACCTTATGGTTATTCTCAAACCCTTGCATGCAAGCAAGGCACTGGCACCAAGGTGTGCACAGTACAACTGCAGCCAGCTTGGCTCCAAGGGCTGCCCTGAATTTCCTGGTGCAAGCAGTCGAGCAGGGCAGGGTTGCCCCAACAACTTTGGGTGTCTAGCATTAGGAACCCATCCTGGACTCAACTGCTTCAAGCATAATATGACCACCAGCAGTAATCCTATTACCACCCATTTGGGACATCCAGCCCTCCTACTTACTACTTCTTAAGATGTGCTATGTAAGGAAGTGTAGGTGGCTTTGAGGTAGACGGCAGAAGTCCAGCCCCTAACACCCAGGAAACACAAGGACAGCCCATACAACTTGGGCTGGTTGATTTCCTGGTTGGCCACAGCTATGACCCAGACACAGTGAGAGTGTTAACCAAGGCTGCTCCATCACTGCCAATGAGTGACAGAGGATACAAGGCACCCACCACCACGTGGCCAGCATGCTTTGTGGCAGAGCTAGCTGCAAGGCAACAGCCAAGGCTGCCCACAACAGTCAGACTCATTCTGTGGGATCTGAGAATAGGAAAGAGACTGCCTCTAGGACCACCCATCTCTTGAAATCCTTTGGTGCAAAGGCTACATTGAGCACAAAGACAGCACTTCCAAGAGGTAGCACATTACTACTAGCACATCTTTTTCAACTCTAGGACCTAGAGCAGCTTGCTATAGGTAGCCAATGCCTTTCTATAGCAGGGCAGTGCCTCTGAAAAGCTAAGCCCAGCTGCAGTTGGTTCCACAAGACTAAGCAGGATACAAGCTGAAGAATGGACCCTCACATCTCATTTCTCCCAGCTCAGATTTCAGGATACCTGCCTACCCCATGACATGCCAGTGTCAGGGGATAAGATTGCTTGCACTTGCTGTAGCATCTCATCGTTGCCAACATCAGTGACCCCATTAAGAGGGAGCTATTTGTCATCAGCACATCAGCTACAGTATGTGTTAGCAGAAGTTAATAGCCAGAAGTGCTAAGCTTTGGACCTTATTGGGATTTTTAAAGACCAAATAAAGCAATCCCCAGATATGTAGAAGCTGATAAACAAGCAAGAGTTACTCAGTACTCAAATATACAGCTGAATCACATCTCCACAGTCTGTCCCCCTGTGAAGAGTTACCTCAAGCAAGAACCTCATGCTAGAGCCAAAAGCCTCCTAATTCTGGTAGAAGAACAAGAGATGCAGGAAGGGAACATCCTCATGCAGACAGAAGGAAAATTCACTAGACCATAGGAGAAACTCAGACTTTCACCTCTAGGCTTATTTTTCCAGGCATTCCACCCCATGTATGGAAGCCTCCTTCTTTGAGAGGTCATTCATTCAGGCATCATTAAAAAAAACAACAACACACACACACACACACAAAATTTTTTTTTCCATATTGTTCTTCTGGGCAACTGAGCTGTTAGCTTGAGATATCATACTAAGAAACAAGCACCAGAGAAAGGTTAAGGCCTTCAGACCAGACAAGTCCATATAAAGCACTTTTGCAAAGCAAGGCACTAAGCCATGCTCTATTATAAGAGGGGAAAAAACCCAGATCCAAACACCCTCCAAGCCTAAGAACCATCACCTAAAACTTAAGACCTCACTTACCTACCAACAGCTTTACTCCACAACCCACCCCCCTGCACTGAGCCCTACCCCCTTGGTCAGTCTTTATATACCTGTGATGATGTCATCATCACAGTGCTGGCCACTTGATAGACAACTCTGAGGGCTAATCCAGAAGCTGTATACTCTCCCTTGACCAACCAGGCTGTTAACTCTTTGGGGGAAGGCTGCCTTTAACTCTGTGTTAGTAAGCACTTTGCACAACAGGGAGGCCTGCTGAGGTCTCTAGGTATTACTATCACACAAATAAGAAATGAGTATCCAGTGCCAAAGTACTAGGATGAAGGATGACTTTTCTTGACTTCTGTAAATGTGTGAACAATTTGCCTGCATGTGATTTCATGGAAGGGCTGCATTAAAGTAAATAAGAAACAGGTCCCTAAGGTGCATACCCCTCCACCTCCTGCCCCAGAGACAGAAGACTGTCAGAACATGCCTATGGCCTTATTAATGCCCTCCATTAACCTTGGCACCTCCCAGAGAAGGAAGCTTGCCTGAAAGATCACTCCAACCCAAGCTATCTAGCTGGTTGCTACAGCAGGACCACAAAGTCACCAGTGACCGTCTCCTCATGCAGGAGGAATCTGTACACAATGGAAGTCCATGCTGGATCATTGGCCCTACTGAACAGGGCCTGTTTGGATCCCACAGGTCTGCAGGGCAGCAGGACTGTTGCTACATCATTTTTCCCAGTCTCAAGGAATGGCCCAGGCCTCAGATGATCTGCCTCTTTGACTCTGTGGAGTCATTTATATCCCCCTCCAATGGGGATTTATATCCCCTCTCCAGCCGATGTCTTGTATTGTGTGGGGGTATGGACAAGTCAGTGTGGTTCAGCACTGTGCAGACATACAGCCATCTCCAACCCAACTTTCCCTCCTCCAGAGGCCAGCAGAGTTGCTCAGGCTGAAGCTTCTGCATCTGAAAGGAAATCTGTGCGATGAGGTAGATACAGCAGGGGCCAGGCAGTGGCCTCCTGCCTTGACGATCCCCTCATGGGCACACAGCACAGGGCCTGGTGCATTCAGGGCAGATGTGAACAATACCTCAGGGGGAGGCATGGCCTTGGAGGTGCATGCCTCTCCACCTCTTGCCCTGCCCCAGAGCCCCCCTCTGCTTCCCCTCTTCCCTTGAGACTCCCCATTTGACTCTTTGTCCCAGTGTCCTTCCACCCACAGTTGCCTTTGGGATTCTCTTCCAGTTTCATTCTCCCGCCTGGCTAGGCGCACCTTGTTTTGCTCCCTGCCAGCCACCCCAGTCTTCACCCCAGCCAGTTCCTGTAGTCAGGTTTAGAGCTGCCTTTGTGCATCAGCTGGATGGCACTCCTGCAGGTCTGTTCAGGATGTTTACAAGTATCTCCTTCCAACTAATCAGACCAGGGCTGGACTTGGGCCGCCATGAAGGGTTTGGTCTGGGAGGGTTCCCAGTGATGGGGTCAGGCTTGGCTGTGGGAGGCATCCTCTTTCTCGGAGTGCACGTTGCCAGCAAGGGATCTACTAGCTGGGTGCAGTGGTATGGCTTGGGGCTTTACCCCAGGTTTGTGCAGTGAAGATGTTCTGGTCACGTGCCTGGGGGCTGCTGAAGGAGTCCGAGCTTAGATGGTGTCAGAGAATGGGAAGGGTTACTGCTGTTTTTCTACTTGGCAAAGGTAGGGCTCCCAGTGCTGTTTGTTGGACACTGGGAGTTTGACCAGTCCATGCTGCGTGGAAATGGGGTGGACCCTGGGCCCCCCCATGTATGCTTATGTTGGGGAAAGCACCAGCGTTGGGCTCCAGAAGGTGCATGTGGGGCTTTCGCAGTCATTTCCTGTAGTCAGGTTGCTCTTCTTCTCTTCTTCTCTCAGCTTCTTCTCTTCTCTCTCAGCTTCTCTCTTCTTCTCTTCTTCTCTCAGCTTTTCTCTACTTCTGCCTGGATACCCTTCTAGTCCCTAGTCCAACTTCTTCCCCACCTCCTCACTCCAGGCCTCCAGACTAGTCTGTGTGGCCTTACTCTAACTATAGGTTATCTTCATGGGATCTCCTCAGTCACATCTCTGTGGTGCCTGGTTCAGCTGTGCCTCTATGCCTCTTTTCTCTACAAGTAACCATGGCCATTTGCCCCTTCCTTTTATTGGGCCCAGGGGCAGGGAGGCTGCTGCGTGCCTGAGTAGCCCCTCCTGCAGAGCCAAAGTCCCTGTAGTCATGCAATGTTCTTGACTGTTTTTCATGCTGTGCGGGGCCTTAGACAGCTAGAGATAGCTATTATAATGTCTCTCACTGCAGTGAGCCCCTTTGGGGCTAGAAACAGCTGATCGCAGACACCCAGCTATTATTTAACCACCACATACTGGACACTATGCATGTAAGTCCCCTAAACATGGGGACATACCCAGGAACAGAATCTAAATGCTGATCTAGCCACATAAGTGACTTACTTGGCTAAACCAGCTAATGTTGTGTCACAAGCTCGTAGAAGATAAGTCCTGAGCTTTATGTAATAAAGAAATGTCTAGTCTTAAAAGCAATCAGTAAAATCCTTCCACCTCCAGACATCAAACGACTTGTTAGGCCTTGATGTTTTCCCACCTCAGCTGACACAAGTTCTTTTGAGTCTTTGTTAGCAATGTTGAATGCGCTAGTGTAGACAGCCCACTAACTGCTGACAGCAATATCAGTGCTGTGCTGGATAGCCAAGCTCCCTGAAGAAGTCGGTGATGTCATAATACGAATGTTATCAATTGGTTCCACTCAAGGCGCAGTGCACTCCATCCTGGATTTAAAGGCACCACAGTCTGTGTGGACCAAGGCTGAACCAGATTGGGGGGTGGGGGCAGAGCTGACAGCTGATCTCATCCTGAACCATGACTCCCTCTGTGGGCCTTATCAAATCCTCCAGATGAATGTTTTCAAATGTGGGTATCTACATTAAAGTGTCTAAGTGGGAAGGTGCTGAGCACCCATGGAAGTCACAGAGGGGTGAGGCTGGCAAAACTGGAAGTGCAGTGTGGGAGACAGGACAGGTGGGAAGGCTGGGGGGAAAGTAGAAGATCTGTGCTCAGGATCTTTCTCCTGGATGAGCTCCCTTGGATTATTGGTATTGGTGATCACTGATTTTTATTCATTCATTCACCAGATGTTCAGGGAAGCCCAAAGCATCACCAGTAATTACATGAAAAGAAATACTGGAGTGGGTGTCAGCACTGGAAATGCTCTCCGTAGCAGGGTACTGGGGTGTGCCTGCTACTTGAAGGGTGCAAGCAGCCTGAGAGGCCAGTTGCAGGTGGTGAAGGGGGCTAATGAGAGGTTCACCTGACAGGAAGAGGGCTCAGGCTGGAGCTATATAAGCCCAGAGCCTTCCCTGATCAAGTAGTCTTTCCCTGGCAAGTCAGGGGTTCTTAGCAGTAAAGCAGTAGGGCTTTTGAAAAGACCTGGATTTGATCTAAATACCTCTGCAGGCCTGGGAATGGAGGCAAGCTGGCTGGTTAGATAGACTGGGTTTTACAGGCAAGTAGCCTTTGTTTTATGTTAAACCCCTAGGGTTCAGTTCTCTGCCAGAGGGCTGAGATGCTTCTGATTTAAGCTGCACTGGTAGTTTATTCTTGAACCTTGCTGTGATAAGATCAAAGCCTACTTGGAGAAGCAGTAACCCAGGAGCCCACAGACTGAGACTGGGGCCCAATAAGGGTTCTAGGAGCCTAGGAAAAAGCTGAGGCCTGGGCCAAAGGGTCCACATGCCCAGGGAAGGTCTGAGCCAAGCCAGAGGGTCCATGAGCCCAGAGCTGGCTAAACTGGACTAGAAGGTCTAAGAGCCCAGAGGAGGGGCTGCATGCAGGACTAGGGGTCTAAGGGGCCTGAGTATACAAATGGGTAATATTGAAGAGAGAGATACCCTGTGAGGCTCGGGGTGTAGTGTAGGGAAGGAACAGTGGCATGCATTGAGACCTTAAGGCTACTGGTCCCTGGAGGGGTACAAATATGCATGTACCCCTTGAAACTACAGGGGCACAGCCCAGCTGAGAGAGCCCATTGAACTCAAAAGCTGAATCAAGGCTGTTGGGAGTCCAGGAGAAGACCCAGGGGTACTGCAAATGGACTAAGGCTCACTCTAAGGTTTGTGGGCAGCCCCCCTGTTGTTCAACCTCTAGTACAAAGCATGGTGGGGGAGCAATTGAGGGAGGGCTGTAATGGAGACTGAACTGGGCAGGAACCACCCCTGGGGCATGAACCTGCTGTACTCTCCAAGCAAAGATGAGGTAGATTATCTCCAACAGGAGCGATTGATGGAGACCAGGCTGGGATGTGGGAGAATGGTGGAGTTGGGGCCTGATCATGAATGACTTGTGCCTCCTGAGGCTGGGGGCCACAGTAACTGCTAGGATCATATTGCATTTTGCTCAAAGGCATTCCACGTTATAGTGAACCTGCAAGAGGGGCATGGCTCAATTTTGATTTGGTTTTAACTGTACAGTCAAGAAAGGTATTCCACTGTGAAGCTAGGAAGTAGATCACTTTCTCCATACCTTCAGGGGGGAGACTTCTAGTTCTTAAGGCTGATAGATTCTACCGTCTTTGGTCTGTGGACCTAGGGAACAAAACTGTGGTCTTACTGGTGCCACAATGTCTAACACTCCTATTCCCCCATTGTAAAGACCCCCCACTATCCTTTATGGAAGCAGATTTGAAAGACATTAAATAAAAGCATGTTTGGATCTTGGGCAGGTACAATCCCAACACTCACAAGCTGAACAGAATACACTGCATGTACTTGGACACAGTAGCTAAGATGGCTCTTGCTAAGATCAAAGGAACACTAAAGGTCGCCTCAAGGCAATACAGTAGCCAGAAAACCTAGGTAGAGCTCTATGCAGTGTCTGTTCAGGTCAGATAGGTGTCAAACCTCTTCAAAATGTAATTAAGGTCTATGTGTAAAACTCCAACCCACCTCCCCTTGGGGCCTACTTGCCAAGATGGGGGTGAGGGGAGGAAATCCTGAAGGCATTTAAGCAATTTAGAAAAGTAAATGGCTTCTG